TGTTTATGCTGTTTCCTTTAGTGTTTCTTGTCTTGTTTACCTGAGCCGTTGAAGTGGGAGTGTTTTGAGTCATGGAAATAATGTGACGGATAAGATCATTGCTATGATTATTTACGCAGGATGAGGGGGCGGGCTGCCGGAGGGCCACTGTTTACGGATGTTCTAGCCTATTTTCTTTCTGCGTCGGATTGCATTTTTTTGTCGTTGTTTTTCTTTTAGGTAGGTATATGAACAGCCATAATCAGAAGTGAATAGACAGACAAACTGAGAGAAGAAAGTGCAAGCCAACTAAAATGTAGAGAGGGGTGAAGAGACGCAAATGATAAGAGAACGGGGTGCACCAGAAGCGCGGTTGGTATCATGCTGGACTACCCAGCGGATGACCTTGGTTAGAATCCTTAACTTGGTGGTCAAAACTTGGATTTTTTGGGGGAATTTCTAAGGAATTCACTCACTTGGCTTTGTTCTGTCGAAGATTAGCCTTTAAATTCGGAGGTCCCGCCTCTTAACCTAGAAGTGCTGAAAGGTGTGATAAATCTAAAAATGACCAATGGTAAGAGTACGAACGATGTGTGAACTGCAAAGTACCAGTTAAATAAAAGGAGCTGAAATATAAACGCAACGAATTCGCGTCTTCAATTTTCATGGACGTCTTCTTATTCTTATGTTTCTAGTTTTTGTTCATGTCTTGGAGAAAGAAAAAAAAAATTGCAGTCTGACAAAAGGCATGCCACTAGCTCAGTTCATATCGCGTTGAGCTTCACTTCTGATGACGCTAATTATAAAATTTCTTCACAAATGGGGTGTTCTTGAACTTGAACTGTTCCTAGTTTCCATGGCTGTCCACACACATGGCTCTTTCCTTTTGGGGACGGGGTGAGCGTAAAATGAATATTTTCGCCTTTTGGAATGATCTTACAGTGTTTAAAAAGACGCTGCTCTAGTGGGTGGTTGGAGGGCTCCACTGGCAGGGCTTACTTCTTTACTTTCCCTCTGTCTATTTTTAATGTGTCTATGTACTTCTCTTTTCTCAAACAAACCAACAAACGAGCAAACGGTAAATTGGTGCCATGGCAAAAATTTCAAGATAATGTTATCGCTTTAAAAAAAACAACCGTTTGTGAAATATGTTTTTAGTGGGTAGCGTCAGTGCAGTTTTGTCCCAGGTCCACATCACCTGCAGCTCTCGTCCTTTACCAGAAAGATTAATTACAAGTAGGTCGAGGACATTTTATACAAATATAATTTATTATTATTATATTTTTTTTTGCTGTAGTAAACACCGCTTCCACATAACCCCGTCCTTCCTGGCCTATCAAAAGATAGGGCATGAACACATCATGTTTTCCAAACATGAATTATGATAATAAGTTTACACCCCC